GCTAATTGTAGCATTGTGTTAACAGAGGTATGTAATGTGTGTCAGCTTGCAGGCACTGCTGTACTGGCTGTCGGTCTGTGGCTGAAACTGGACTCGAAAACCAATAGCCTGCTTCAAGGAGACAATTCTCCATATGTGTTATACACAGGTAAGACAGATTCATAACACAACAGGCAGGCCTTAAAGTTTGTATTATGTGAACTCATTCATGCACTATGTTATATGATGTTTAGGTGTTTATGTCCTGATTGCCGTCGGAGCGGTTATGATGGTGGTGGGCTTCCTGGGATGTTGTGGAGCAATCCAGGAATCACCATTGATGCTGGGGCTGGTTTGTAGCACTTATTATAAATTTATCACCCCCTAAGGCTAAATTGGGCACCTGGAATACTGGGTATTTTGCAAGTAGGGCCTTAAACGTGTAAGCAGATTTGTATTTGATGAGGAAATGAGGAAAGTTTCACTTCTGCCATCAGATGTCAGGCTGCTTATGTTTCTGGCAACATAAGGTTAAATAAGAAAAAGAGGAAATTAACAACAAATGTATAAGTGATCAACCAAAAGCTGAATGTAAGATAAGTGAAACAAAGTAATAATGCAATGAGCAAATATGTGATTGTAAATTGATAACTAACATATTTTTCCAACACTATGCATTAGCCCATTTATACAGCATTAGGTTGATACAGAACACTATCTGTCATGCTTGGGTGAAGGAGAGTTGATGAAATGACTTATTACCCAAAAAAATGACGAATATGTTTACTCAAACTTAGGTTTTTTTTTTTGTTTGTTTTGTTTTTTTTTGTTTGTTTTTAATAGATAAAACTAAGTATTTAGTGACAATTCAACCTTTTTATTCCATACCTGAATAACATAGCATTCAAAACAGTAATTCCCTTATATATAGTCAGGTTCACAAGCCTTTGCATCCAGGTTTTATATGTTCTTTTTTTTCCCCACTGTCTTCTAAATTCTCTTCAGTATCCATAGCTTCTGAACTCCCTATTTAAGGTACGAGAAGTTTGCTTTCATCATTGTTTACTGAACAGTCTCAAGGCCACAAAGGAGTCTCTAGATTTTCAGCGCTTTCTCCCCCCTTCATTCCCCGTGTCATAATCTGCTTGCACTAAATCTCGCTGGAGGAGGAGCCAATGAAAACTGGGTTTGGCCACACTCCACTGCCTTTGCATTGTGCAAATGCACGTACAACACCAGCACACAAGCATGAATGGAAGACAGATATCAGCTGAGTTTAATTTTGTATTTCTCTGTGCAGTTCTTTTCATTCCTGCTGATCATATTTGCCGTCGAGATTGCAGCTGGATTCTGGGGATTTTCAAACCAGAACAAGGTAAACTAACTGCAGTGTTAAAATGGATGCCATGATGCTTGAAGACAGAATAAACGTGAAAGCAAGAGCACTTCACATAAAGGGGGGCATCTCAGTATATGAGAATATTATTGAAACCATAATTTACTCTAGTAATTCAGTTCAAAAAGCAACACGTTAGACAGATTTATCAAAGATCCAGTTTATGTATTTATTTCATTATGTTAGGCCAATGCAAAAGACTTTTAAGTGCAAAAATTTAATGTTATGGTCAGCACAACAAGACAACTGCTGACATTACAGTTCTCCAGCAGTCACTGCTGGCCACAACAGGAGATTGCTAAAGAAGCTGGTGGGTGTATTCACACACATTGACTCATTGAATACTAGGTGTTTATTTTGGGTAAAAGCTCAATACAAAGGACAACAAATAAAGATTATTTTAAAGACATGATCAAAAAAAGAACATTTTTGACTTTGGAGTCCTAGTTGTGACATAAGTTTTTTTCAGTTAACCATGCTTGCGGTTGTGTTGCAGGTGTTGGATCTGATCAGTGGATTCTACAGACAGACATACGAAGATTACAGTAAAACAAGAGATGAGGGCCTAAAAGAGACTCTGCGTTTGATCCAAAATGAGGTGAGACTTGTTGGACTTAATTGCTGCATTTTTTTTTTTCTTCTCTGACTAACAATTATCTGGACCGATAATAATTTATCACAAAGGGGGGATTTTGACAGAAAATAAATGTTTTACCTAAGTTAGATGATGTTTCTTAGAGCTGGAGTAGAACTAAAAAACAAGCCAGTACTTTACAGTATCTCTTCAAAACACAAAGACTAATTAGGTTACATTGCACTATGTTATCTGTCTGTTTCCAGTTATACTGCTGTGGTCTCAAGGGTAGGATTGGAGAAACCTATCCTGACCTTTGTCCCCCTGCAGAAAATCTTGACATGTTCATTATTAAGGTACAACCACATCCTAAATTATCCAACAAATGTTTTATCTCTGTTGTGACTGTATAATTTGTGTTATTGGGGCCCATGTATTGTTATGGAAACATCTGTTTGCAGGAGTTTGCACAATCTCTGGCTCTCTGTTACTGTTATCTGTGTATATCACGTTGTTGAGCATGCTGTAAAGCAATTACTCCTATCTATTACAGAGCTGTCCTGATGTCATCGACGAGGTGTTTAACTCCAAGTTACACATTGTTGGAGGAATAGGGATCACCATTGGGGTCATTATGGTGAGTGTGCAGCTGGCACACCTTAACCAATCACATTTTAGTCATTTGTTTCAGAAGGGTCTCCAACTCAAGGCTTGGGAATCACTATGCAATAGCCCTCAAAAACAACAAAAAGTGTTTATTTTCACTGAAATTTTTACATAACAGGTTTGGGGAATAGTACATTTTATTTAGTTAATTTATTTCATAGTATTTTCCATTAATTGTAAAGTAAAACAGGCCTTGATGGTTGTGTTTAATTTACAGTGACTTGCAGAAGTGTTAATACCACTCTTACATTTTGTGATGTTACAACCACAATCTTCTTTTATTTATTTATTTAGAACATGACAGAAGTATAAAATCACACACATGAACAAGGAATGCAAAAGACACATATTTTTGTACTACAATAATCTTAACATGCTCGAAAAGAAGTAGGAAGAAGTTTGAAATGTATGAACTCCTACCCCATAAACTCATACCGTATTTTCAGATGGACCCTCATTATTAAAAAAAAAATAAATAAATAAACATAGGTTAATTAATTTTTCTATTTTATCTGGGTTTACATATCTAAATGTATACATTCATACCCACACACTCATATGCATTAGCCTCAACTTACATATACACATTAGTGCTATCATTCTATATCTTGTGAAAACCACTTCCTTATATTTCCTTTTAAATTGTATTAAATTTTGACTTTGTTTTAGCTCCTCATTTAATTTGTTCAATAATTTTACACCATGGATTGAAATACAAAAGCTCTTTCTTGTTGTGCGTACACTACAAATACTTGAGTTTGAGTAACCCTTTAAGTTATATCTCCTTTCTCTTTCAAAAAACACGTGCTGTGTGCTCAGGTAGCAGTTTATTTGACGCTTTCAACAATAATTTGAGCAATTTTAAATTCCACCAGATCTTCAAATTTTAGAATTCTAGATTTTAAGAATAATGGGTTTGTGTGCTCATAAAAACTGACATTATGGATGATTCTAATGGCTCGTTTCTGTAGGACACTCGGTGGCTATAAAGAGATTTTGTAATTAATTCCCCACACTTCTGAACAATATGTTAAATATGGCAAAATCAGATAGTTATGTAGAATACAAAGTGATTTATTATTCAGAATATGTCTATCCTTAGCTAGGACTGATATACTGATGTACATAGTTTATTCTGTAAATGTTTAAATATCTTAAATGTATACTATTAGGATTTTATGGTAAATCATTACCAAATGGCACTAATTATGCAGTCGAAAGGAAGGGAAACATTTTGCTTCTCAAATTCTAAAAAGTGAAGCTTACATTTGTATTTAGCCTCCCTAGTTCTTATATTTCTACATTAAATCCAGAGCCACAAGTTATGTTTAGAGGCCACCTCCTTAGTAAATACAGAGGGGATGTATGTGCAAGTTAAGCTCAGTATGAATACAGCTGTTCTGTGAAAGCCTTCATGTACAAACAGCATCATGAAGTCCGAGGAACACAACAGAAAGGTCAGCGGAGAAGATAAAATAGAGAGTCAAACGTTTCACAGAGCACTGTTTGATCCATCATCAGAAAATGGAAAGAGTACACAGCTGAAAATCCTACAAAGACGTAGCTGTTTGCTTAAATTGACAGTCTAGGCGAAAAGAGTATGAATCAGAGAAGCAGCCAACAGCCCAAAAGTAATTCTGGATGAGCTGCAGAAAACCACTGCCTAGCTGAGAGAATCATTGGCAGGACAAAAGTTAGGTGTTCCCTCAACAACAAACCTTTATGAAAGAACACCGAGAAAAAAAACCCAACAGAAGTCCTCTTTGAATTTGGTCATTAGTCATGTAGTGGACAAAAGGTATGCTAGTCAGATGGATATTTTGGTTCAAGTGTAAAATACAGAAAACTAACAAATATTTCAGAGGATTGCAAAGGTAGCAGATATTTAGGAATGGATAAAACACACACATAATATATACCCTTTGTGTTTCTCCAACAGGTGTTCGGGTTGATCTTTACCATGCTCCTGTGCTGTGCCATCAGGAAATCTCGGGAGGTGGTGTGACACCCAGTGGAAGTCATTGTTATTGTTGCATGATGTCATTCTCAGACTCCACTGCCAACAAATATAAATCACTTCTTTTTAAGGAGGGTGCTAACCTAAGCTAAAAAGGGTTTAGCCTAATTCTGACTGTAGAGAACGTGAAGATATGATGCACTTGATTTTGGTCAATCTGGTTTATTTATGTAAAGAGTTTTAGGAATTGTGCTGCTACACAGCATAAAACATTTCATACAAACCTTCTAGTCAATGTTTTTTTAATGTACAGACTGGCCTTTCCAGCACAGTAACTATCAAGTTCCAGTATTAAGCCAAATAATTTTTAACAACATAGATAAAGCCAATGCAAATTCTATGGAGACTAAGATAAATGATTTTTTTTAAATGCCACAATTGGCTTACTTTATAAATGTGGTCCAAAGTGAAAGAGAATTTTGTCAGTAAACAAATTTTGGCAGAATGGTTGCTTGTTTGTTTCTGAGTTGTTGTTTTTTTCTCTTTTATCTAAATGAGACCAAAGCTAACCAGATGCTAGAAGAGGTTACCTCAGAGTTCATGTCCCAACATATTTTCACATTCTCTCAGTATATCAGTAAATCAGCGATAACTTTGCTCCTAAGATAGATGCAATGTTTTCACTATGTCCATGTATAGAACGGGTGCCATCTGCGTCAGCAGCTGTGTAGTACTGAAATGTGTAAATGTGTGGTTATTTGACTAAAATCGGCATTTGTGAGCTTCTAACTATCTAAGCGAAACAGCATGTCAGTGTGTATTGATGATATTGATTTATCGATGGCGACCACTTTGGATATCCTGCTAATGGAAACACTTCCACTTCAGTGCAACAAAGAAGTAAAAAAGAGGCAACAAAACTGATGATGGCTAGCAGCCAAATTAATGCCAAGCTAAAATCTACGAGATATTTGTGGTTTAAACAAGCCTGGTGTTACAGTAGCATTCGGCTCCATTTTTTCCTGTCATTTATGTTTTAATTTGTCCTTGTTTGAAACGCCTTTTATTTGTTTTTGGGGTTTTTTTTCAATTTTTGTATGTTTTATATTAATGTTTGTACATTTTCGGATGCTTGGTGTGTATATATGCAGTTTAAGCATTTTGCAGTGTCCTCTTGATTTGACAGAATAATTTCATTTATACACTATGCACTATTAATCTATGTTAACAAGAGCCAAATACAATAAAGTGATTTAGGTTGAATTTGAGGATCTTTTGATCTGTCTTGGACTCACAAGCACACATTGTAAGAAATGGCATTCTCGCAGGTTGCTTTTAATCATGATATTAAAATATTTTTGTTATGATAAGATACCATACTTTTCCAGACTATTCCCCAGAGTTTCTAGTTCTTTTGTGTTCACTTGAGAAAAAAAAAAAATCAAGTATTCAAATTCAACATGAACTTATTGTAAATATTTCTGCAGTGCAAATGCTTTAAAATGGCAATCTTCAAAAACAAGGCAGACAAAAGGAGGAAAGAAAATAAGGGACACGAAACAGGAGATATGGAAAATGAGAAAAAAGAGTTACAGTATGGAGCTTGCAAAGTATGTACGCAAAGATTGAAGAATGCAAAACACGAAGGAAGACGCTTGGAAGAGACGAGGACTATAAGGAAGCAAGGATGGATACATGAAGAAATAAGGGAAGCTGGGAGGAAAGGCATTAGAAAGGACAGAAATGGAAAGAAGGATGGACACAATAAAGTAGGGAAGGGGGGCACAATAAGGAAAGGAAGGACATGCAAAAAGAAAAGGAAAAAAGGAATGGAGGAAACAATAAAGAAGGTAAGAGGGTGACAATAATATAAGAAATTATAGACACAGAGGGATTGAAGAAAGGAAGAGAAGTGAAGATCAAGATCACAATGAAGGCTGGGCATAATGTTAATATAATAGGTTAGAAAACAAAGACTATTTGACTTCTTCATACATTTCCAGATCTGAGGAACTTAAAATCCTATTCCATTCTTTTTCCAGACTGCACTGGAACTCTGTTTAATCATATGGAGACCAAACATGAATAATTTACTATTTCACTGAGTGTACTTGGTGCACACTACAAAAGGGCATGACAGGATTAGAAAGGCCGAGGTGTCCTGATAACAAAAAAACACTTTTGGTTTGTTCCCTAGTGTGGAGAGGAAAAAAAAAAAAAAAACACCCACTCCCTCAACTTTTTCCGCTTTGATTTTGGTGACAATCAACACAGTGACTCATAGGGATCATAAACAAAGAAAAGAGCTGCCTTTGATTAAGACAAAGTGATTCTGAGTCACTTTGTCTTCATTAAATTGTGGAAAATTTCTCTCAAAAACTAAGGATGCAGAAGTAACAGTAAACAGAAGGCAGTGTAATAGATTAAGAGTCTAATTAAAATCCAGATGACTCAGTTTCTGCCAAAAACAAAGGTGAAAACAGCATTTGTGTTCCTCTGATTACAGCACAAGGAAGCAGACTATGATTTGGCTGTTGAAAGTTGGGTGCTGCCAAAGCCCCACTATGCAGATAAGGCTGATTTCTAAAAGGAGAGTATTCACATGTAAGGCCATGTTTCTGTGCTGTTACAACAGTAAAGTTTATTTTGTGCACACCAAACTGTGATGCTCAAAGGAATATCGAAGGACAACAAAGATAAGAAAGAGGCATTTTGAAAAACAAATAACGACGCAAATGAGCTTTTCCTTTTTTTTTTAAGAGTAATTTACTTAATGGATGTATAGTGCGGTGAAGACGGTTTCTTCAGTTTTTTTTTTTTTTTGGTCATACTTAAATGTTTTAGGTGATCAAGCAAATTGTATTGTCAGAAAATCTGAGTAAATACAAAATGTAGTTTTCAAACGTTTTAATTTAGTAAGAAACAGTGGTTTTCTGGACCAACCCTATATGAAAGTACAGCTGGGTTCCATATTTAATCTTGAACTACGTATGACTTAACACTTTTGTTGGTTCAATTTCATTACCCCCACCAATGCTTCATTAATGGTACTTGTAAAATCAAGAAATCACTGAAACAGAACATGAAGTGAGTTAACAGAACTCAACAGAACTCAAAATTGAATACATGATTTCCTGATCAGTTCATGAAGGCTTACAACACCAAAACAAATCTACAATAAGAAGCAGGTCAAAATTCCTACTCAAAGACTTCTTGCCAGCTATCACAAATGATTAATTGCAGTTGTTGCTGCCAACTCTGGCACAATCAGTTATTGGGTTTATTTAGGATTTACTTTTGATGCAGCAAAATGATGGCTTGGATAGATTTTGTTTTCCTCTCAAAAATAAGTAGTTACTGTTTGAAAACAGCATTCACTCCGTTTATCTTTAGTATGATGTGTTTAAATATATAAAACATTAGGTGCGAGTAAAAAAAAAAAAAAGAAAACCAGAAGAAAAACTAGAACGGAGACAAATACATTTCTATGTCACTTTTTTCTGTGCAATGTGAAATTACAAGATTTTCTCCTTATTTTATTTGTTTGGCAAAACCTCATCTCAGTTCATCTGTTTGCCTATAAATAGAATTCTCTCTTATGTTTTCATTTACATGTAATAGATTTTCACAGATCAAAAGCATTACAGTCTGTCAACACTGCAATGAACTATCAAGAAAAAACACATTGGAAAAAAATACAGTGCAATCATTTTATCTAAAATCAGATGGGTTTTTTTTCTGAATGCTGCCACAAAAAGTACATTTCTGGTTTCCTGTTGGAGCAACACAACTTCAGTCTTCATCCTCGCCCTCTGAGCTTTCCGAGTGAGCATTCAGGGAATCGTGGGACTCTGTGTGTAATACAGCGTGTGTCCGCAGCACCATGTTTATTCGGAGCAGATTTGTGAGACACTGCAGCACAGCCAGTACCAGCTGATACTTACAAGAGACAGATTCAAGGCCCAAGTCCAAAAGCTTTAATGACATGTTACCATTTTCACAAGAGCATAAGCTTAGTTTACCATCTCCAAGAGGACCTTCAGTGTGTATGAAGTTTGCGCTGAGGGCGTGGGGTTGTTTTGGAATTAAAGCCACGACCCTGGTTTGTGCCTGCAGGAAATGTTTTAGGTTGTGAGAGTAAATCTGCCGGGGTACGCTCAACAGGGCCTTTTCCAAGAGCTGGGAAACTGGAACAACTGCACTTGTGTTAACAGAAACTGAGCAACTGTGACCATATTGATGAAGGGCATGGTGCAGCAGAAACTCAAATGTCCCACCTGCAGATATTACACAACCCGTCTCTGTCACACATTTCTGATGAAGATGCACTCTGCATGCAGTTCCATTACTTATATTGTCTGCATGTAAAGACGTGCATTTTTTTGATGGGATGGTTTCCTCTAGAGCCGTCTGAGTCTTGCGCACGGGCTCCAATGCTGTCAGTAGCATTCGAAAGGCGTCTTGAAATGCACATGCATGCTGATCAGCTTGACCTTCGCTTGGGGCACAAATCACCAGGCTACAAGGTTTAACTTTGAGTCTTTCTTCACAATCATGGAAGTCCAAATGAACGTATCTGTCAAAAACAAAATGACAATAGTTAACCGGAATGTTGTACAGTAGATAACAATGCCTTGAAAAATCACACATATACCATGAGTTTTTTGTTTTTCTTTGATTTTCCACATTTTACCATGATTATTTTTTTTCCCCCACATTTTACATTGTCACATCCATGAAACATCAATGTAGGTTTCAAGATAACTTGAGATCCTCCTATTTTTTTTCCATGTTGGACATTTTAGTTTAGCAGTGACAATAGATGAAATTACTTTTAAAATCAATCACACAAAGTAATATCTAAACCCAACAGTAGAATCCAACTTCAATAAGATCAATGAGGTTGTGCTTTTATGTTTTGTGTCATGAAAACTTTGCTTTAATTCTATTTATTTTTGTATTCAAATCATAAGAAATCATAGTCATAATCACAGACAGAAAGAGAGCGCTGCCAAGCCATGAAGAAGAAACAGCAGGTCTCCTGAGAAAAACCTCAGGAAACCTGAAAAGAGGAAGTTTCCAGCCTGCGGAAAGTTTTACAGAATGAAGTCTAAACACTTTGGGTATTTGAATAAGACCCAGTGCAAAATATTTGTATTAATATTGTTTCAGTTCCGAGTCAGAGAAGCTAACAGAGGTTATAGATGTGATTTTGAAAATGAACTTGAAATGATGTGGAATGTGTAACTGCAATCAAAGATCACTGATGTTGTGTTGGAGGTAGATACTAGATAAAAGATAGAAAGGAAAAAGGAGAACTGGAAGTACTGCAAGTGTGACTGTGTGGGGTCACATTTGTCCTGGACACAGACCAGGACAAAAGAGGAACCGACAGAGCAGTTTGCTGATCAGGGAAAGAGAAAACAGTTGGAAGAGACTCAAACTGCTGAAAGAAGGCCTGAGTGTGAAGACGAAAGCATGGAGTGTGACCCTTGAGCACGCCCGGAACAAGAACACAGACATGACATAATGTCTCCAAAACAAAGGTGCATGAGACAGTCAATAAAACCAGCATGGCAACAGTGCCAGCCAATGCAAACACATTCTCAGGGTGGAAACCCCTATAAAAACTGATGCAAAAGAGGAACCGTTGGTTGGATCCTCCAGGCAGCTTTGAGCCAAGATGGAGATGAATAAAGAACTCTGCAGCTGAAGAAGTGCCAGCGCCACAGATTAACCAAAGACTGTCCTGCGTATTGGGACCAATCAATCAGCCCCACAATCTGTGGCACCAAATTGCACTTCTCTCATCATCTGGGCTCAGACCACAAAGACAAAGGTCAAAGGCAAGAACAGCCAGCACCCAAGGCCTTATATCAGCATCCATGTGGAGGCGAAAGCTCATCAGACCTGCAGGGACGCCTGCCTTCATCGATCAGCCTCCTCCTCCTGCTGGGACACATTCTTCATCATCAAGCCAAATCTGGGGTTCGAAATAAAATTTATTTTTGGTTCTCAGTTTCAGCATTAGGGAGAGAAAGGTTAGATTGAGATGATTGATTTTTCATATTCGATTATTTTTGCTACTGAATTAAGCTGTACTGACCCTTGCAAAACACTGCCTTTACTAATAAAATATTTAGCATAAAGTAAACCCTACAGGACGAGGTGGACATCCAATTAATGTGTCGCTTCAAAGTTCTCTGATAGGTGTAATTAATCACAGTGCTTGACTTTGAAGAAAGAAACTAAAATATATGCACCTACCTGTGGGCTCCAAGCAGTAACGGTTTACAGAAAGTCAGTGTTGCGATATGCTCTGGATGAATCCTCCTGCAGTCCGAGATGGGTGTTACCCCACTTAGCTGCGTAAACAGAGAAATCTCTTCTTCACTGACACACTCCACAAGGCACATCCCTGCCTGTGTTGCTGCAGCCAGGACAGCAGAGGACTGTTTCAGTGCACACAAAAGGACAGAGACACCAAAACTCTGCAGAGTTGCAATTATGCTCTCCACTGACTTTTCTGTCCAAGAGCTAAAGTGTACAATACCCCTGTCCTCTGTCACTTTGTCTCCACAACGCAACTCAAGTACATCTCCTGTGGTGAGTAATTTCGGCTGCAGGTATCCATTGAAAACTACAGCTTTGAGTGGCTGCTTTCTTACTTGGGGGCAAGGCGTAGCAAAGTCTCTGTGAATCACCTGGCCCTCAATCAAACGTGAGCAGTTGACAGGGACGCCTGACACTTGGGTATGCAGTGCTAGGAAGCTGTTGTTTAAAAATTGCATGGAGAACGAGGGTCGGTCATCTTTTACCTTCCAGTGACTGAGCAGTTCACAGAAGAGGTTGCGGAAAAAGTCACAATACGCATAGCCCAGGCGTGTGCGAAAAAACGACACTAGAAGAGTTTGACAACTGAGATCATGTTGTGTTTTCGCTGTGAAATTCTCTAATGAAACACGGAATCCATGTGGCAGCACATTCAGCACAATGAGTTTGTCCAACTCAGTCAGCGCAAATTCTAGCAGTCTGTCAGCCAAGTGCCGCGCAGTGGCAGCTTCTGACGCTTCTGTGGAGTTATGAGGCTGAAACATATGAGGGTCCTTAGTGGCTGTTGCATGAATTATTCGCAGTAATGATGCAAGGAGAAGAACAAAGGTTTTGGATCCATCGCCTGTTATTGTGCTGTGCTTCCAGACGCACCTCACCACCATCCTAAGACAAAAAAAAAAACAAATAGCATTGCAGAAGAATTAACAATTAACCAGAAAGTGCAAAAATATTCACATTTATGCCATTTGTGCTAACCTGGCCAGTGGGTGATCCAGATGTAGTGCAGTGAGGATGCGTTTTCCGCTTCGGCTAACCATCACTTGTCCTGTATCTCTAGTGAACAGCACCTGTCCTCCTTCAGGTCCAAAACTGCGAAGGACGATGGACTCCAGTGCAGACACTGCCTGTAAGACGTGACTGAGGTGGAGTTGCTCCAGTGGCACCATCTTTACACCCTGGAATGTGTTACAGAAAATTATAAAGAAGAAAGTGTTTCACAATTTTAGACCCTGGATTTGTAAATTCACGTTAGTCATCTTTGAGCAAGGCAAGGGCTTCCCAGGAAATCAAAAGAAAAACATTAAAATAACAAACCTTCAAGTTTTATTCTAAAAAGAGAAGCTTTAGATTTAGAGTTGGTGTTTTTTTAGATTTAGTATGGCATGTACTGAACACATCAAGAAGACCCCATAAATCGCCTGTGCTTGATCAAGCATCAAACAAAACAAAGCAGATATACAGTGAGTAGGGCTGAGGATGGTTTGTAGAACATGATTTAATTAAAGGATCTGGGACTTCCTCCCACACATTCGATCTGTCAGGTTTGAAAGAAAACCCGAGGGAAATACAGTGGATGGAGTTGAATATCACCTTACAGAGACAGTAGTAGGACAAATTAGGATGAATGGGGAGGCCTTATTAATGACAGCAGAGGCTTAAGATGTGAAAAAGTGCAATGTGACTAAAAAACTTGCAGTCAGCATAAAGGGTTTTCTTTTTGAGATGAATATAATATAATATAATATAATATAATATAATATAATATAATATAAAGCAGTGTATGACTTTCCTGGTACCTGGAATACGATTTGAAATCGAGGCACAGTTCTCATAGCAACTATTAAAAATAAGAAAGACAAGATGTATGCCCTCATACGTGCTGATTCTCATGAATCAAGAAATAGTAACAAAAACAGCATTGCCAAAAAAGGCAAGTTTATGTTAGCAACAAGTTTACGTTGGCACCACCACTCACAGTAAAGACCTTAGTAAGAGAGGTAAAAAAAAAAGATTATACTTCTACTGTAAAAATTAAACTTCCATCCAGATTTGACCCTAACGGGTCACAGGGTGGGGTGGGCTAGACAGGTTGACATTACAAGGCAATACTTAAAAGCAACCACGCATAAGGGCAATTTTGAGAGACCAGGTAACGAAACATGCATGTCTTTTGACTGTAAGAGGAACAGGACTATCCAGACAGAGACCATGAATGTTTGGGGACAATTATGCAAATTCCATGAAGAAATCCTCCTGTCAGGGTTCAAACTCAGCTTGCTTGATGTATGCAACAGTGTCAACGTTTGTACCACCATGCAACTAATAGGTGCTCTTATTTCTTGGGGCTTTTAATTATGTTTGAGAGTGCAAACAAATGTGGGGAATACTGCTTAAAAGACTTTCTGAAATGTAAAATGTACAATATCTGTAAGGAATGCGTAGAATATGGCTCACCGCTATTTAACCTTTCTTCTAAAAAAGCAGAGAAAACGTTCATAGTAGGTTTTGGAACATCGTCTCAATTGAATTATAGGGTAGTTTTGTGATATTGGATTTTGCTTCAACTGAAGAAGAACGCAAGCCGTTTCATGACTACAAATACAATTTTAACAAGATTGTTGACTCAGTTTGTCGATAAATAGGCAACGAAGAATCTAAACTAAAATCTGCTTGTATTCACCTTAACATTTAGATGAGTTCGACAGAGAACATGGTCTTAAACAAACACGGTTTGTTGTTTCTGAAACAAACACGGTATGTTTAGGACCAGAAAATGAAAAACAAATAACCACAGTTTCGTTGTGAATGTTTAAGTAGCTTGTCCTGCTGCCTCGAAAATCATCAATAACAATGCAGCTTCGTATGAACGATAAAAACTCGACAGCAACAAAAGAATGGTACCACGGTAGCATTTATAAGCTAGTTCTTCACATGATGCTACCGAAAAGCTTCACAAGCCCCCCTAAATATATAAACTACAGTAATAAACATATAATAACCGGATAAATTTAAGAAAAAAAATTAAACAAAATGAACGAGAAAACTCACAAGCCAGTCGAACAGGAAGGCTTTCCGTGTTGCCTAGAAACAAGCCTTCCTCTTTGATTGATAAAGCTCTTCTCAGAGTAAATGGTTGCCATCTAGCGGCTCAATGCGGAAATTGCGTGACTTTTGTTAATATTTTTTTTCACACGTTTTAACTCTCGAATATAATAAACGTATAAATACTAACAATTTACTACAGGCTTTGACGCACACATTAGTAATCGTACTTTACGCCGTCCTTCTTTCTCCACTAAAAGCTTCAATTCAATTTAATTCAGTTCAGTTCAATTAAATTTAAATAACAAGCAACACAGCAGCTTTTGTCTTATTGATTAAAATCTGTATTTAATTTAGTAGTTTTCATTTTAGCAGAATTACAGTGCCCTGCAAAGGTAGTCATAATCATTGAACCTATTCACATGTTGTCATGCTCAAGTGGGACTTGTGTGACTAAGTAATTTAAAGTAGCGAGCAATTATTTGGTGGAAGGAAATGATGCTTGGTTTTCGAAATGTTTTCCAACTAAAATCTCTTACACATGATTTAAGGTATTTCACCCCTTTTAACAGTCGGTCCATGAGAACACAGCTGTCCTCATGACAGTGTTAAATGTCTAAAAGTATGTTTAAATTCCTGGTTTCCTTGTAAATATAAAAAGTTTGGTTTTTATCACTAATCAGGATGCCTAAGAAATGTCAATGTGAGTCTGCAGACTTAGCAAAAAGAGAAATGACACTCTAAGACACTCTCCTCCCCTTTACATCTTCTATACAGTAACACTGGAACGTCAAGGTGAACTGAACAGCACAGGGACCTGATCGCTGTGTTACTGCAGAAACCCCATCCCAAGCTTCTAAATCAGGCTACGACATCTATACATAGATAATATGAGGCAGTTCTGCAGCTTCTACCAGATGTACACATTAACACACACATACACCCGCGCGCACACACACACACAGAGCTGTCCACTCTGAATGTAAATGCCCTCCACTGCTGAACTCTCAGTATGCTAACGAGCTTTAAAAAGCAGTGTCACTACACTAATGAATATGCATCAGAGGCCCGGTGAGGGTGACCTGTAGGGATGGGACAAGAGGTCTCGAGAGGTGGGGCGACAGGAATGTACACCGCATCTCTCACGGGACATGATTGGACAGAAAATGAACATATTCACCACAATAGAACACCCACTATCACTCACCCCCACACATCCTCAAATAAACACACACCCTCAACCCTATCTTACCCCACCCTCCCCGTTGTTGCCTCTTGATCCAGCTTCACACACCTGCTCCTGCTTTGCTTGATGTCTGAAGACCGGTGCGATGTAGAACTACAGGGCAGCGAACTGATCCACACATCAGCGCTTTTCTTTGCTTCTCTGACTCCTTCAACTTCCCTCACCCTCTTCAAATATTGAAGGAACAGAAAAATCCGATATTTGGACGTCAATTACCACAGGTATGGATTCATTTTTTTTTTCATTATATCATTAGAAAGCCATTGTAACAATAATTTCAGAAAAATTATAGACTTACAAAAAAGTACATACAAACCACAAGCAGACCTGCACCAAAAATTAGAATGTGTTTAATTAAAAAAAAAAAGATAAAAGTAACAAATGGTGCGATTTCAGATTTAACACCAGATTTTTAAGATTAAGAAAAAAAGTAGCTTCATAGTGCAGTTAAATCAGACATATAAAAAAGGTGCAGTTGAAAATATCAATTTATTTTTTGCAGAAATTACAAAGATTGCATCTTTTATCATTGTAAAAGATGCAGTTTAGTTAGACTAAGATATAAGTAGCATTTATCATCTCTCATTACTGCATCGAAGCTCAAAAAAAACTTTAAAAGTGAGATAAGTGTCCGCATGGATGTGCTGATTCAGCCCCAGATACTCAATACCTGTGATGTCTGCAGAATTGAAAATAACAACCCAAAACATTTCCTGTGCTCAGGAGTCAAGTTTTGGCAGCACTTATTGCACTGGCGTGACCTTGGCACATGACTCTGACCTCTGGCAGCTGAGCGTTGAACAGCGGAGATCCACACGTGGTGCTTCACACACTCCCTACCACCCTTCACCCGCCCACTACCCCCCACCCGCACCTCTTTAACTGCATTTCAGCAGCTTTGGCAAAGACAGCAGCTTTCATATCCTGTGTTTGAGTGTTTTTGCAATGCCAGCAGAAACAAGAGACATTATTTGACACTGGTGTATATACTCCGTTTATAAGCACATTATTGCATCAAATATTTGATCAACAGACTGAGGAAACTTCACGCAGTCTGCTCTGAAGAGCTCTTCAAATTACGTCAAATAAAACTACACACTTTATGAGATTTATAGCTGTGGCAGTCTCTGCCTTGTTTGAAAGGTGATGTTGCAGAGTTGTGCTGAGCCTTTTCTTTTTTCTTGCACTGTTTTCATTTTTCTGACAGCGAAATCCCTGATCTGTCACTGCGACCGATAATGAACCGACGAGCCGCACCGAGCACCTCGTTCAGCCCCACCAAGATCCCAAATGCAGCAACTACACCGGGCAAAAACCAAACTGGAAGCCACGGTGCCAACAAGTTCATGAATGAGCTACGGAGCATCCACAGTGAGTTGGACAGCAGAATGGATTTCCTTTGGATCTCAAGTCATATTTCAAAGCTATTGTTGTATGTCAGCACTTGTTAAAAAAGATTAGAGATTATTGCTTTTGCTCCAGTATGTTAAATATTTAATATACTCCCTAAAGACAGGATATTAGAGGAAGTAAACGTCTGGATTTAGCAACGGTTTTGGTGGCACATGCTGGACGTTTTCAAAGGGGAAGGTAGACTGGAGTCACAAATAACCTGAGGTTAGCACATCAAAATCAGAAACCATAGCAGAATTTTATGAATTTTTATAATGCAGCTTAATATTAAAGTTAGGCGGGAGGCAGAGCAGAGAGTGAGTTGTAGACATATAAATGTGAAATCTATAGGGAAGAAAGTAATAAAAGTATTGACAAAAGAATAACAAAAATAATTAAATAATTGAAACATACTCTCCTATCTTATAATAATAATAATAATAATAAAAATAAATATGAATGTCTGTCTGGATGTATGATGGGAGGGAAGAGGGGCTTGTTGTTGTTTCTGCATACAACTTACAGGAGATCCGTAAGTTGTATGCAGAACTTACGGATCTTAATATTTAGAACTTAATATTTAGGCCTTTAATATTAAAGGCGTAAACCTTTAATATTAGGTTTAGGCCCTGTCAATATCAGTGTAGAGGATCTACACCCTTTCATAAAAAATCCCTATAAAGATGACAATTTGTTTTGGAAAGGTCTTGAGAAAAAAATGACACTAATTGTTCCTGGGACTTCGCTGGGCTTAAATGACAATGTAAAGCAGTCAGTGAAATGGACCAAAAACAAGAACGATGTGCTCAAGGCCAAGAACTACAGAACGTCAGAGGTGATGCTACGATATGATTGTTTTCAAACAGCCTTATATTGATTATTCAAGTGGAAATCACTTGATTAGTCAAGTGATTCTTCAAGTGAATAATAATTACCTCACCTACCTCACATATCAGGTGAAGTAACTAAAGCACCTCACCTGATATGTGTTTCTTTTTAAAAAAAATTCCCTCAAACATCAATTTAATGTAATTTTTTTTGAAAAAACTTTCTTAAACAAGTGGCTACGAGAAAATAAAGTGGTGGCAAAGTGAAAAGATTGAGGGAGTCTGGGGAAGTCTCATAGTGGAGAGGCAGACACTGGAAATCTCTGTTTTAATGTGCGTGACCTTCAGGAGCTGAGGCAGCACAGCATGAGAAAACATTATGCCACCATGATCAATATAGTCACTTGAGACAAGGAGTGCCTTGGAGACCCATTATCAATTAATGTTGTTTACTGCTTCCTCCATAAAGGCCATCTGTTATATAAATACAAAGCCACAGATAAATGCTATTTAGGAACGTTCTAAAGTTTTCTGGGTGCAGAAAGATCGAGGAAACATGTTAATCAACAATTCTGCCTATTTTTAGAGCATCATTTTGAATAGGAATTTTATTTTAGTTTCATTAAAATTTTACAAAACTCAAAACAACTTACAGAGAGATTGTAAATTATTCACTGTAAGCTAATAAAATATTTTACTCAGCAAGAATAGACACATTTTGCAATTATCAAAATGCGATAAATCAGAAAAATGTACCCTTTATCAAACTCGCCAAAGGAAATGCCTAAGCTGATCTACAATGGTCATAAAACATTCTACAAATGTATTACCCCCGAACCTCATGGTAATGAGTTATAAAAAGACTTAAAAAAAAAAAAAAAAAAAAAAAAGTCTGTCAGGTCATCTGCAAAATTTGGTACTGTGGGAGGAACATTCATAATTCATAATTTATTTTTTTTTAAGTTAACCAGTGTGTCCAGGGGTGTCTAATTAGGAATTTTTACACATTTTTTCCTGTTAAGAGGTCGATGTTACCAAACTGGACCAGATGCAGATGCATTATTATTTTCTCCCATGCATTTTTATGTTTGTGATTTCGTAGAACCGTCCTGGGCAACAGCCGCCCTTTGCATCGTCAGTTTGTGCATGGTGCTGTCATGTATTCTTTGCATCTGGAAAAAATGCTTGATAAAGAAGGACAAGGACAAAGAAAAGGACAAGAAGAAAGGAAAAGAGAAAATCCAGGGAGGTTTTGACACTGAAATGGATGGGGGTCACAGCGAGGTAAGCTAGCGCACAACAAACACATTCACAGACGTCACCTCCTGCAGACACATTGTCCTTGTAATGTATCATAGCCCTGACGTCTGGGTTACCCAGGACGAGTAAAACTGTCAGTGCACTCTAAGACGAATGGACGTGCTGCTCGTCGCTCATGTTAAATGTAAAGTTAAGGTGAGGTGATGAAAGTTGCTTTGAAGGAGATGACTGCCTTGTCTGAACAACCAACGTCTGCTGTAACATAGGTTAATGCAGAAAAATAGCACAAACTCGTCCGTTTCCATGTTAAAGAAAAGGCATGTTTAAATGCGTATTCAGCACTTATATTGAATTCGTGTCTATCTGTCTGCAGCCCGCAAAAGATGAAACGGTCAAAGAAACAGAGCTTTCAAAACATGAGCCCAAGGAAGACGAGAAGCTCGGCCGACTTCACTTCACATTAGACTACAACTTCACAGAAAATTCGGTGAGTTCCTGAAGCTGCTCCATCTGCCAACTGGTCACCAGCTATACGTCTTCATTCTGTTGCCATTCTCTGTGCTCACGCTCCAGCTAGTGGTCGGCCTCTTGGAGGCTTCAGAGCTTCCTGCAATGGATGTGGGAGGCAGCTCCGACCCTTATGTTAAACTCTACCTGCTCCCAGACAAGAAGAAAAAGTTTGAAACTAAGGTCCACAGGAAGACGCTGGAACCAAGCTTCAACGAAACCTTCACATTTAAGGTAAAACGTTAGAATAGGCAGCCTATTTCAAAGGGTTGGCGTGTTAATACAGTGCTGAAGAACTTGGCTTCAGACAGACATATTCTGTTTATGTTTTTTTTTCTTTTTTGTCAGATGTAATGTTTAAGATCATTTAACAAATGTTAATGTCAGTCAGAGATGATCTGACTAAATTCAAGATGGAGCTTTTAAATAAGGATGTTATGAGGTGAATAAAGCAATCCAAACCAATCTGAGCCTTTGGAAAAAAAAAAAAAGAAAAAAAAAAAAAGAAAAAGTTGTCCCCCTTGCCATCAACAATCGCTATCAAGCAACGACAGGGAGGTTTTTTACATCACCATGGAGAAATTTGAAATTTTGAGCCATCATAATTCAATCAAAAAGACACATCAGACATTACAATTTGTTTTGTGATCTGAAACATTTAAAAGCAACAAAAAAAAAAGCAAAAATAGAAGAAAAGGAGGTCGATACTTTTTCACAGCGCTATCGCAATGTGAATTTTTGCTCTACTGTAAAGGTACCATATACGGACTTGGGCGGAAAAACCCTTGTGATGACTGTGTATGACTTCGACCGGTTCTCAAAGCACGACGCAATCGGGGCAATAAAGATACCGATGAGCAGCATAGACTTCAGCCAGTCTCTGCAGGAGTGGAGAGATCTGCAGAAGGCTGAGAAAGAAGAGGTGGGAAGATAACTTTACAGAGAGCTGGATTAGTTAAAATTATGCATGATGAAAAGCCTGAGGATTTTAAAAATGACCTATTAGGGAAAACTCTTTCTTAAAAGAAATAATTTCTGTTACTTATAATCAGACAAAATTATGCTATTATAAATTCTGTGGAATCCAGCTGTTCTGAAGCAGCGACCATTATATTAAAATATCATAAAATATCTATTATCTGATATTCTTCCAACTTGATCTTCATGTTTGTGAACCAGAGCGAGTGGCTTGGAGACATATGTTTGTCCTTGAGGTTTGTACCAACTGCAGGGAAATTGACTGTGGTTGTCCTGGAGGCCAAGAACCTGAAAAAAATGGATGTGGGTGGATTATCAGGTGAGCCCAGCTGCAGAGTTCATGGGAATTTTGCATTTTAAAACTGCAATTAACAGTAAATACTTCCCGTTAATGATTAATGAATAATTATGCCTCTGTTTTACAAAATTCTCAGAAAATGGGAAGTTCTGTGATTTGTTTAGCATCTAAATCTTGTTCAAAATCAGACTTTTGGGTCCAATTTGAAATCCAGAAATGAAATAGTCCACAGGAAAATAGGTAATGAGATTGCTTTTTCTTATTGAACTTGTCTTTAGGCGCAAGTAACACAAAAATCAATGGATTAATAAGGTGAACCACAATTCAAGTTGTGATGTGACTAAACAAAAATAAATGTCATAATCTAAACATAAATTCATTTTCTTTGTTAAAAATGCTGAGTTTTATTTTTTGCACATTGGAATAAAAAATAAAGCCTGCAAGCTTTTTAACACACTTACCCAGGCTTGGAAAATAACAAAATAAAAATTCCAAACTTTTCCTGACTTTCTAGGAACCTTGAGGTCATCTTAGATTCCCGTCACTAAAATGTTTTAACATTTAAAGTAGCTGATGTGGGTCAGTTCAGTTCACTTGGCTCTTAAATCAGGAATCACTACAACTAATGTTGCTTTTCATTGATAGAGTTACAGAGCGGGTGCCAAGCTTTTGGTCTGCTGCTTTAACATAAAACACCCCTGTTCTCTCTTGCAGACCCATATGTGAAGATCCACTTAATGCAGAATGGCAAACGACTGAAGAAAAAGAAAACTACTATAAAGAAAAACACTTTGAACCCTTATTACAATGAGTCATTCAGCTTTGAAGTGCCATCCGAACAAATAGAGGTACGCTAAAGAGGTATTTGGGGATACGTGGACGTGAATAATGTTCAGCGTATAAAATCCTTCTTCTGCGTAAACTTTCTTTGCAGAAGGTGCAAATAGCAGTGACTGTGCTGGACTATGATAAGATTGGGAAGAACGATGCCATTGGGAAACTGCTTCTGGGCGGCAACAGCACTGGGACTGAACTGCGCCACTGGTCAGACATGCTGGCCAACCCACGCCGCCCGATAGCCCAGTGGCACAGCCTTAAATCAGAGGATGAAGTCAACTCATTGCTTTCCAATAAGAAATAAACCAGTGTGCAAGAAAACCAACTATTTATTTTAGGCTTATTTACCGTCCTTCCTTTTCTCCCCAACTACATTAACCATGTAAATATTTTTGATTAAACATTTATGTTAAAATAATTGACTGTAAAATGTTTAGAGTTATTTTTTTATGCTTCATCTTAAAGATAATTTTAAAAATACATAACTATTTAAAGTGCAACAACACAAAAGAGATAATAGATTATGTTACATCTGTAATGTGTTCACTAAACTAACAAAATTCACCAGTAGAGGGAGACAATTTAAAGTTCTTCAGTGAATGTTTGACGTTGCTGCTTTGTAAATTTACTAAACTTTTGGTGAACTGAAATGACGAGTTACATATATTTTTATGCTTTTAATATTTGCTTGTTATATTTTAGACAGGTATTAAGCATTCACTCACAACCTATAGGTATACATACATGTCAAATTATTTGTGAAAGTTGTGGTCACATATCATTTCATGTATTTTAGGATTAATACATTAGATTTTCATATGTTACTCTTTCTGTTAGTATCTCATAAAAGAAAGCAGTTGAAAATAGTAAAAGTTGTCAATAAAACACCACTACCCAACACTACCAATGTTTCACGCTTTTAACACAAAATGAAGAAAAGAACTAAGACTTAAAACCTCACAAACAATGTTTAAAAATAAAGCATATTCATAAATAGAAACACTATAACTAAGTATTACTTTAAAAGTAAGAAAATATGATGATAATGCTGATGATATATGAAAGAATCCCATAACTAGATTAAACACATGTATGTTGAGCCAACTTTGGTAGGCCAAAGATAAGCTAAACATAGAAGAACTAAATCCTTAGTCACTCATGACATTTTTATACTCCTATGATGTGACATTGACGACCATTTATCCTTTACTCTTAAAAGTGGGAAAAATGAATATTTTCTTACTTGAAGGAAATATGCTCTTTGTGTAAGGCAGCTGCATTGATCTTTATCAGTCATAAAATGGCTACAAAAACATTTACTGGCCTAAATTTTCCTCTATCTATCTTGCTGCTATTAAAGCACCATTGCCTTACTCTTAAAATCATCACCATGCCAAATCCTTTGCCATGCCAAGCTGCATTGATGCAGTCATTCATGCAATAGGAGATCTAGCCAAAATAGGGGTGTATATAGATTGTTTTTATAGACTAGTCCAATATTCTAGAAAACTGAACTCTTGGTTTCTTCCTAACAATAAACAAATAAATAAATAAAAATGATGCTGTGTGAATTTTTTTTTTCTTTTTTGCTTTTTGAATAAAAATACTAAAATAAATTAATTTCCAAAATTTACTACTTGATGCACCTGTGAATGAAGCTTAGTAAACCTACAGCTTAGCAACACGTGGAAGTAAGATTTGTTAGAAATGTGTTACAACATACTAGCAAGATTAACAGATTAATTCATAATTCAAAAATATATAAATTATTATGGAAACTTAAATGTCTGGCAACATTTTTCTTTAAATCAACATATCACCTGTAATGTTAACACCGTTACTGGCTAATCACCTAGCATTTACGCTGCTGTTAGACATACCAAAATATGACATGTAGTTGGTTAATTGGCGCTTATACTCTGCTCAAGATAGGAAAACAGACGCTCTTGTTGGTGTGTCGGTGAGAGTATCGCAGTCATGAAGGCCTCCTCCACAATTTCCCTCCCTAAATCACAGTATGAGAAAGCAGACCCGTGCAGTCGGAATGGGGGTGCTGGTGTAACAGAGAGCTCACTGCAGGCTCACCTTTGCACGCAGGTGTGGACAAGCCGCTCGTCATCTTCCTCAGGAGGGGCTTTCGCCTCCTCCAGGTGGCTTTACAGGTGCAACTAGGTTTCATCCCGCTTCCCTCTACCAGATATCCTAAACCCTTTCCACTCGGGACAGCTGAGATGCACCGTTAACGTTTCGGTGGGACTTCCTTTCGAACTCTGAGATGAACGTAAAGTGGACAGTGAAACGATTTCTTCTTCTTTCGTTTTCAGTCTCCCACTTGCTGTTACTTGAGGGTAAGTTAGAGTTTTGCTTATCCAGAATGTCATCCACCAACACTACACATTGTCATTTTTGTTTATTCCATTCGAGAAATAGCTTTTGTTTACGGTTTATTTTTAATCAGTAAGACTTTGTCTCTCACTTTAACATGAAATCAACTCAATTAGAAATAACTTGTCCCTACCAGTCACATGAAAAAACTGCTTCCTTAGCTTTCTTCATCAAATTGTTGATAAAGACTACAGTTGAGTCTAAATTATCCGTGCCACTGCCTGATCTAGATTTATTCCATCCAGTCAAATTTGTTTCTGAAAGGAAATCACAAGGCATCTGTCTATTTTTTAAATAATGCACAAGAGTGTATTATTAATTATTATTAATCAATTTCAGTTAAATTTTAGTTAACTGAAATAAAATTTATCCATGCTTTAATTAACATGGATAAATTCCATATCAGTAATTATTTTGCTATAAAATTTTAAATAATCAATGGAAAACATGTGCTGGCTTTACAACAAACAAGTACTTTGGTTATTTTTATAAATGCTGTTAAGCTTCTGTCATGTCTCTTCTGATTGCTTCAGTGTGAGGTTTGAAGGTCTCCTTGCCATTAAACTAATCGTTTGCTCCCTGTACAGCTCCTCTTACAAATTAAAGTCAAGATTGGGATTGGGGAACTCCAAAGCATGAATATTATTATTATTATTATTATTATTATTATTATTATTATTATTATTATTATTATTATTATTATTACTTTAGCTTCCTATTAGAAGGAATGTAAAGATTGCCTTAAATTTAAATCTGAAAAGGTAGTAATAATTCTGGCCTTTATTGTAACATTCTTAATTGTAAAACTCAAAACTGATTTGTCTTGAGCACATGTCAGCCTATGAAAATAAGTTTGTATTTAAAAAGGAGCCACACATTTTAAGATTTAAAACTCTAATCCTGATGTTGTCACTTTAATTAGGAGGTCAGAGCCGACTTGCAGTGGCAGAGGGAAGATCACAGAGGTAAATGAAAGACAGAAATGTGAAAATGTTTTTTTTTTTTTTTTTTCCACAAATGATTCCCATCCGGAGTCACAGGATGGCCATGATAAATGCATGCTTTCAACCAAGACAATGTGTGTGACAGAAACTGATTGAATGTGAACTCGCATTTTTTTTGTGCGCAAGGCTTTAGTGAAAAGAAGTTTGAAGTCTGGATTCAAGTGGTGTAAAGTGCACTTAAGTCTCCCCTCTGACTGTTTCTATCCACTAATGTGCATGTTTGTGTGCGCACAGGAGGGCTAATGCACTTCGGAGGAAACGGGATCTCCTTGGGGAGGAGGTTTGTACACTACACCTAAGAGAACCAGAGGAGGTCAGGGCACCCTCATGCGCATAACACCTCATCGGCACAAAGCCGTCTTTGTAACCAACTAGACACAGTCACAAACACGCACACATCTCACCCACTCAGTCTGATACAACTTAAAGCAGCAGATACACAACTGGTGTAGCACAGAGTCCGTGAGGCTGTTAATTTTTGAGAATTTTTACAGGAAACGATCTAAATGTCTTTTGTGTGTTGCTTCTTCCCCCAACCCACCCAGACATATAGGCCATTGCTGCCAGAAAATTCACTGTCACGCAGCGTTTTGCACAACTACACAGCCAGAGATGAATCTTCAGGTAAATACGATCTTGAAATTCACCCCACATTTGCAGAACATAGAACTCTGTAAGGAAGGAATTTCAGTTTGTCTTTCTGTCTGTCTCAGAATATTGTGGCTGCCTTAATGGAGGTTGGTGTCAGGAGGACAGTGTGTGTGACTGTTCTCAGTTTCAGGCATTGGGAGACCGCTGCCAGATCAGTAAGTCATTCACTCGCATCTTCACACATTCATATCATCCTCTTATTTCAGCTCATGTTCGTCTCTGTCTTGGAAGTAATATGCCTGTCCTAACACATTCAGGCTTTCTGACAGCTACATTGAGACTCTTTCGAACATGAATAACCTAAACACTTAACAGTTGTATTTAGTAGAGGTTTCTTAGTCTTCTGGTATTATTATTTCGTGGCATAATTCCCAACCATGTTCAAACACACCCACTCACAAAGACCTGTGTAAAAGATATGACCAATAGCTATTGGGTTCAGTTGCTAAGTCAAGTTTCTAGCCTTTAAATTTGAATGTAATTTCTGGTTCTGTCCTGTAGATATCCATCCAGATATCCAAGTAAATGTTATTTTTATTTTTTCAATTTGAAGAACTAAATTCAAGACTGTGTTTCCAATTGAGTTCAATGAAAGTCGTGCATCCACCCAGTCATCCATTGAGATTTAAAGCCTCATGACTTCCCAAATACCTGCCAAGAACCTTTTGAATTTAGGCTTTAGACATCGGATAAAAACACAATGAGAACCCTGGAGATTTGAGCATACAAAAATATGAAACATGTACGGATGCAGTTAGTGCTAAAACCCATTAAAGTGGTTCTGTTGTGACCTATGAAGGAACTTAGATGTTTGACAAAAAAGTACATGAAAAATGTAAGTTTTGCTTAAATATAATTGTCAAGGTTAAAATAGTCAACATAGTTAGGGAACGTTTCTGATTGAGACACTAATGAGTGCACAAAATGCCACTCACTGATAAAATTACAGGATGTGAATCACTGTAACCGCCATCCATGCTCTCAGATTATGGGGAGGGTCTCGAGCAGCATCTTGGCAAAGCAAGCCATGGGGATTTTCCAGCAACAAAGGGCTTTTACAAAATTCAGGTATTCGTTTTCAACAGATAAGTTTAATTAAATACAAAATGATGAAAGATATAAAGATGATAACCGAGATCAGATGATATGTTTGCCCTCTCAGTTTAGTTGAAAAAATAGACAAAAAAAACTTCCTTTTACAAGAACAATTTCTAAATTAATTAAGCCGTTGTCCTTCTAGTACCTAACCAGGGCCAGGATAGAGATGGGATCTGCAGGTCGTGGGGTCAGCATCACTTTGAAACATTTGATGGGATCTACTTCTACTTCCCTGGAACTTGCTCTTATATTCTGGCTCAGGACTGTCACTCAGCTACTCCAGAATACACAGTGTGGGTAAGGGCAATATTCAACATTATTTAACATCCTGTTATTTTGGTGTGAATGAAAATGCTGTGTGTTATATGAGGTATAATAAAGCAAAATGCCATAAATTTGAAACAAAACATACTAAGCAACCTTTTACTGTATGCCTTGGGTTTTAGCATCTTTCCTCTTGTCTTTTAGTATACAATGACAAATTACAAACAGTGGCTAAACCTTCTCAGTATTTAAATTCTTTACTCATTCCAATCCCTCCCCTAATTAGCATCTCAAATGATGACAAAATCACTGAACAGTAAATGTATTTTGTTGTTTCTTTAATTCTAACAGCAACATTTACATATGGAATTGTGTGAATACAGAATTATAGATGTCAAGCATATATTTATGGTGTTTCTTAGTGTAAAAATGTTATGCTATGGTTAAATGGAAATGACTTAACAGTTATCCAGTAGAATCGTTGAGTCTGTCCAAACTGAGAATACCTCACTGAAGGTCATTTCTGAAGGTTGTTGTATGCAGAGTGTTGTATGCAGATATATTATTTAAAAGTTCTTTGGAAGAAAAAACATGGAGAAGGAATGGTGACTGAGTCACCAAGGTAACCACATGCAGCCTTGAGTAGATTGCGAAGCAAAGTCCACGGTAACTACTATTACATATAACTGTAATTATTATTACAACAATAGGACTGGACTGTTGCTCAGTAGTCTAAAGTTTTCTTTTGAAGATGAAAGTAATTTTGTCTTTTGATTTTGAAATCACTCTGCCATCAGGGGAAAGAGCGGAGAGGCTCGGAATCCAAGTTTATTGATGCCCAATGTGACTCTCTCTATTGTCAGTGATGATTTGAGGAGACATGTCATTTGTTTTATGAAGTCCAAAGTCAGCAGAGCTGTCCATGAGGACAACTTTATTGAGATGCTGAAATCATTTCCTCACAGCATCTGTCAACTGCTGACACTCCCCAAAAGTACCAATATCAGGTTTAATGACCATGACATCATTGCCATTAGTCAGGAATTATTATCTCCTAATCCCTCCCAATTCAGTCTGGCAGTTATTGTCTAAAGGAAGACAGGAGACACCAGACCAATCGATGGAGATGAACTGAAGGCTGCTATTAAGGCAAACTGCACTTTTTCATAAGCTTAGCAGAGACACAGACTAAAGGCCTCCATGCCACACTGCTGATCCATTTTTAATGGTCTTACTGTTCAATCCATGAACATACTTTTTCAGTTACCTGACATTTCTCTTTCAATTTTTACCTGTGTTTGTGTGAACCTGCTTTGATTGCCTGTTGCTTTGCTGCAGTTGCACAGAAATCTCCCCATAGTGGAACAATAAAAAAGGAATTTCTAACTATCTAACATCAAAGTTTCTCCTTTTTATTTCCATAATTAAAACAAACAAACTCTTTAATAATAATCTAATGCATTTAAACCCACCTCTCCATTATTTTGCTTGCCTTCTCAGATTCACAATAGCAGAGTGTGCGAGGGAAGTGTGTATTCTTGTCCAAGAGCTCTCAGTTTGTTCTTCCCAAACGAGGAGGAGATCCATATCTCTGGATATCAGGTCCACCAGGGAGGTCGCAGGTGTGAGGAGAACAAAACAACCTAATAACATTGACCAATAAATGGCAAAGCCATCAACATTTCTCAATGCCTGACAGTATCATTTGTGACTCTTTCATTTTGTCTGTGTTTATGAAATGTCAGGTTAAGTTTGCCTCAGACTGTAGGTGGGGTGTTTATAGAGAGACTGGCTGATTACCTGCTTGTCAAGAGTGTGTTTGGCTTCTCTTTGGCCTGGGATGGAGGCTCAGGCGTCTACCTGAAGATGAGCGAGGAGCACCAGGGCACCCCTTGTGGCTTGTGTGGGAACTTCAACCACATTGCTGATGATGACCTCACCACTGCTCGGGGTAGGACTGGGCAAACTGGCCCCTCATCCGTTTTTCTCCTCACTCAGCACCCACTCAGTGCAATTATTGCTATTATACACTCAGCACCAATTCTGGTCAATTATAGAAGGGGCGGGACTATCATACACCAGAGCAGAAAGAAAAGAACTGTCACTTTGGTTCTAAAAGCCTAGAAGAAGTATGAAAATTTCCTCACATGGCCAGTAATAGTAATTATAATCTCTGGGTTTTTGGCAGAAAGCTTTCAAAAATAATTAGGTCAAACCCTAAATATCTAAAATATGGACATACATGTCATTGCAATGCCAAGTTTTGTTTGAATGGGCTTCTTGTTGTACTTATGAGAAATGAACATGTACTTGTCATTTTCTAATCTGTCGATATGAGCCTGTTGGTGACATACTGTCATGTGCTCACTCTGTGTTTAAGGCATTCGAACAGATGAGCCTGCGGTGTTTGCTAACAGCTGGACAGTGGACCTTCCTCACGAGAGAGCTTGTCCCTCTGTAGATCTTGACTTTAATGGCCCTTGCCATTCTGAGTCAGACATGGATGTAAGAACCATATCAAATGTTTCAACTTTGTATTTGTATTTTCATTATATTTTATTTCCTTTTTGTATGGGAATTGGCAAAAGAGAACATGTTGAGTTTTGACAGGGGTTGATATGAGATTGTGATGCTATCATAACTTTGAGTACAAATAGCACTGCTTGACAGTATCACGGTATTTCATTTACAAATTTAAACGAAAATGTCCAATATGGCCTATTTGCTTTTAGGACAGAAAAGCAACAATTAATTTATTTGTTGAGTAGTTTCATGATACAACAGACAACCTCCTTAAAAATACAAATTGGCCAGAGAAATAAAATATTTGCAAGTTTCATCTACCGTATTTTTCGGACTATAAGCCGCTTCTTTTTTTTTTTTTAGCCATGCGGTTATAACCCGGGGCGGCTTTTCTGTGAATTTTTCTTCAACCACCAGGGGGCTCATTAGCAGGAAGTGAATCATTGGAAGTCAAAATTGGAAATCAAAGAAGAAAGTGCTAAATTTCATTTAGATTAGAATAAGCATATGCTAGCAGCGGGCACGACGGAGAAATTTCTTCAAACTCATACCCCCTCATCATTGAAACAACACAAAGAAAAATATGCCGCTTTTAAGTTGAGGAGTATCAATCTGGCAGTACAGGAGGGAAATAGAGCCGCTGCAGGTAAGCTCGGCGTGAACGAATCCGGGGTTCGGCATTGGAGACGGAGGGCTGCGTCCTTAATAGCAGATTTATTAAGGACGCTCCCTCTGCTGCGTCTTTGTGGAAAACTGAGAGCGGCGGAGATACCAGCAGCTAATAGCCCGGTGCGGTTTATATATATGCGGTAATCTACACAAGATTAAAATTACACATACAGGTTTAAATAAATTTAGGCCTGTGCGTTCAGTATTCAGGTAAACTAAGCTGCATGGTTTCTTTCTAAAACCATTTTTGATGTGCATTTGGCATCACTGGCCTGTAAGAACATCCAGCTGTGTTCAAGCTCCATCTACCTTTTTGTTGATTTGTTGAAAAACTCTCCCATTGCTCTACCCCACTGTGTGCAATGCTCAGCACTACTGGCAGTAAAACTGACCCTCAGCATGATGCTGCCGCCATTATGCACGACGGTTTGTGTATCAGTCTTGGGTTTTAAAAGCCTCACCTTTCTCTTACGTCATGTGGCCAAAGAGTTACATTTTTGTCTTGTCAAACCATAAAACTTTTACTGAGAGTGTTTTGAGATGAAGGCTGCTGGTTGTTCTTGAACATCTTTACTAATATTACCTCACCTAAGATTGATCCTTCTGGTTGAAGCCTCAGCATAATTCCAGGAGGACAATAATTCCAGACCGACTTGTATCCCCAGATCTTGCTTTTAGAAATAATCAAATTTATAATCATTCAACCCCGAGAAATGAATAATTCAAATGCATGAACACTATAGTTCATGTGGCAATCATGCACACGAGTGTGTATAAATGTACTTATGTTGTTTTTTTTTTGTTGTTTTTTTGTTTTTGTTTTTTTAAACGTATGTATCCCGACCTTCTCATTCTTTGCAAATCTGCAGGACGCCATTGAGAAATGCAGCGCTCTCCTTTTCTTTCCGTTTCTGTCCTGCCATGAAAACATCGACCCAAATCCCTTTGTCGCCAGCTGTGTCTCTGACCTCTGTGTGTAAGTCGTAGCCTGATCACAGCCAACTGTATGCATTCAAAACTTTTATTTGAACAGAATCTTGTATATCAGAAACTCAGTTATTCCAAAAATGCTCTCTTCCTTTTAGGGCCGATGATGAGGAAACATTTTGTCGAGCTTTGATTGAATACACCAGAGCCTGCTCACATGTTGGATATCCTGTAAGAGAGTGGAGGGACAGTTTTCCATCGTGTAGTAAGGGTCCTCCACTGCTCTCCACTGACACACCTGTTAAACAGACTTATCCCCTCAGGCCCTCATGTGTCATTGTTATTTCTTGTTTCCTGTTTGTGCTATCACAGACGACGGCTGCGAGGAGAGCTTTGTGTATAGAGACTGTATCAGTTGTTGTCCGCCCACATGTACGTTTGAGAAAGAGTGTCTAGGAACCAACCTGCACTGCCTGGATGGTTGCTACTGCCCTGACGGTATTTACACCAAATAAGAGGATGGCTAGGTTAATAAAATAAGTTGAGATAACTGAACGTAAGCCCTCTCTGCACACAGGTCTCATCCTACAGAATGGAACATGCATCCCTGCATCTCAGTGTCCTTGTGTTTATCATGGAACATCTTATGTGCAAGGACAAGTGCTTCAACAAGGCTGCAGTGTCTGGTATGTGTGAACTGTCTTTTGTTGGAACATATAAGATAATTAACTTGCTCATTACCTGATTTTTTTTTCAGTGTTTGCATGGGAGGAGTGTGGAATTGTACAGAGAATAACTGCACAGGTGAGTCTACTGATTAGGAAATTTGATAGTCATGTTACCCTTTTTTAATAGGGAATTTTCACATAATATCTGACCTAATTTTTTTCTGGAGGAGAAACTGAAAAGCTAGATTAAACAAACCAAAGGGAAAAATAAATCTTGTTTTACTTACTAGACAAAAAACGTCAAGAAAGATTTGTATTCTTACTTTGAATAAAATTAGGGCACCGTACCTTCTAATATATTTTACTCGCCCAATTTTGTTGAGTTTTGAGTTTGTCTTACTCCTCACTTACAACTGTGAGATATTTGAGAAGCTACGTGAATGTACAGCCCGTTTCATGTCAACCATTAGCAATATAATATCATGACCTGGTCTTTGCGTCTGTCGGAAAATTATTACTTTTCTGACAGCCCTTTGATGAATGTTTTGTTGCAGGGTCCAGTCATGTGTCAGCATCCTTCTTTTCTTTTTAATGCTTAACCAACACTCATTCAGAGGAGAATTCATGATGAATATTATGATTGTGAGCTGGCTAGGTTTATGTCAATTATGTGTTTGTTATGATGTCTAAATAATTGGAATTCAGTCCAAAGAATATTATTCCACATGTCCTGGTCTTAGTCTATGTCCTCTCTGGCAAAACGCTTAACCAAGAACAGGGGTGGCTGTCAAGAAAAACACACTTTTATGCTATCCTAATCTTTAGTGATTGTAAGCAACAATTAAAGGAGATGAAAAAAGCCATTTTTCTATTATTTTTTTTCCGTCGCAGCCGAGTGTTCAGTCGTAGGAGACATGTTTGTGACAACATTCGACGGCAGGATGTTTCTCCAGCCGGGGGCGTGTCAGTATGTGCTGGCAAAGAGCCGAGGCAGCAGCAAATTCACCATCACGCTGCAGTATACCACCTGTGAAGAGGTAACACACTGTCCTTTACACATGGAGAATAAAGTACTACACTAAGAAATATGTTTTCTTTTCCCTTTTTTTTTTTTTTTTTTTTTTTGTCTAGCTGATCGAGACAGTTGTCCTGTCTTAGCAAACTCCCACTTCCACACCTGTAGTTTATTGTCTGGACTTAATTGTCAGAACCAAACCCAGTGGACGCCATGTCAGCTATAAAAAAAAAGACGTGTCTTTGTATTGTTTATTTTAAGTTTGTGCATATTACTGAGAAGCTTGTTGTTTTTCTAATGGGAAGCACTTTGAACGACCTTGTTGCTGAAATGTGCTGTGCAAATAAACTTCCCAGATAGCACATGATGTTAAATCAACGTTGAA